GTTGAAGATTGCCGCGTCTCTTGCCGATACTAGCTTTATTTGGGACAGACCGTTGCCAGCAGTGGACGCTTTTTTTTGCATTTAATGGAGAAAAAGAGGAGAAAAATTAGCTTTCTTTCTACTACATTTTAACCGTTATCATATACTTCTTAATTATTTCCAGCAAAGTTCTAATGGGTTAATATCACTTCTATGCATTCGTCCGTATCAAGGGCTCACCCGAGAGGCCAACTCCTCGGAGTCGCTGGCCGTCGCCCAACACGAGTGCAGGAGCATAGCACCTCCCGGTGGTGCTCGAAGCCACCGCCATCGCCCAAGGGCTGTAGGATGTCACCGTCGAGGGCCCTGGCCCTCTGTTCCCTGCAGCCTGCACCACGAACACCCCCGCCCTCCTCGCAAACAGCAGCAACACGTCGAACACGCTCATGAAGGTCACCGTGTCTTTTGGAGCCTCATTCGGCCCTATGGATAGTACTACGATGTCCACTCTATCCCTCGCTGCCTGCGTATTAATTTCGTTTCCATATCGACCAAGTAATAAATAAGATTAAAATGAATTAAAGATTGTCAACGGTTCTAGAGGTTTAAAAAAAAATTTAAAAATTTTAAAGGAAGAACAAGGATGTCGAAAATTCATCGAAAATGACCGAGGATTCGTAAAACCTTCATTTAATTGAAAGGATCAGGAATCGCGTAAACTTGTATGTATGTATGTGTGTGTTCTCAATTAGTTACCTGGTCGATAGCAGCAATCACATCTGCAGTAGTTCCTCCTTGAGGATAGAGAGCCTTGTAAATAGCAAGTCTGCTCAAAGAATTTAAACCCATAATATCAATTGATTTTTTTTTTTGAAAGAAGAAATAATTCCCTACAATTCAATAAATTTATTGATTGCCAAACATAATCCGTGATCATCTGACCTTGCACGAGGAGCCATTCCGCTAGCGAGCCCGTAGTTGAAGCCATCCGCTATGACGGGGATGCCATGATTCCCAGCAACAATGCCTGCCACGTGACTGAAACCATACACAAAAAATTACCCAAAAATGGACTTATCATTAAAAGTTCCCTAGGAACCATCTTTAATTGTTAGATTTATACGTAAATCATTTTTAAACGGTTTTTTTATTGCAACCAACCATCCGTACTCACTTTTAATGTTTAGTTGTCCAATATCAAATATGCTAGAGACACGAACCTTAATGAAGAGGTTAAATGTGGTCAATTTTTGAAAGGAAAAAAAAACATAACTAAAAAGTGGGCTCAAGTGGTTGATTGTAACAAAAAATATAAGGAAAATGACAAGTGTACTACAAAAGTTGTACTACTCTTATAGTTCTAGATACAAAGAAGAGGGATCTATTGCAGCTCATAATTTCCTTTTATAGCTTACGGGAAAAAGGTCCCACCGTTCTGTGCACAAGAGTGCAATGATAGTATAACTCTTATGTGCGTTTATCATTGCTTAAAACATAAATGTAGTTTATGTATAAATTGACAACGAAAGGTGGCTTCTATATAATGACCCTCTCTTAAAAATTTTACTACGAAAAAGCCCTAATACATAAGGAACATATTATTAATTAATAGTTGATTAACTGATCAGATAATAACAAATATTAGGCGAGGGGGTCTCCTAAAAGCCGGATACATATTAAGGGGTTTGTTATAATTCCCCCCACCAAAAAAAAAAAAAAAAAATCTAATGCGCATAACTGATTTACCTTCCATGTCCAACTTCATCGAAGGGAGACAACTCCGCCACACTCAACGGATACACCACCTCCGCCCCGGCCGAGAAATACCTCGCCGACACGATCTTCCCGTTGCACGATCCCACCGGAAACCTCGGCCCCACGGCACAATCAGTACTCGCCCCGAACCTCGGGTCCGGACCTGAGCCCGTCGTCGGATCGAACCCAAAGCTCGGGTGGCTCGGGTCTATCCCCGTGTCGACCACACCGACCACGGTCCCTTCGCCTGCGTGCTCGACTCCTTGCCTGTTCCATACTTTCTGCGGGAGGTTTAGCAGGTGAGGGGTGTAGGTTGTTGCTGGCCTGAAGGGGGTGTCTTTTTCGAGGCGGAGGATTTTGGGGGAGGAGAGGAGCTTCTTGGCTTGGGACTCGGTGGTGTGCGAACCCGTTGGCGATGTGGTGGAAGCTGTAGAGCTTTGTGAAGGTGTTCGGGTCTAGAGTTTTGGAGAGGAGGTCGTCGTGGAAGTTGATCAGGGTCTCCGCATGGAGGTTTCTGCAGGAAAAACGCGAGAAAAATGTTCAGCGTGCACTGTTAGTTATAATATATCTTCAGTAGACTAGCACTTATTAGTTATAATAATCCCTTGTAAATAAATGAAAACGTGGAGTTCAACATCAAATCTAGGATAGTACATGCATCTTAATTACTTCCAAATCTTATATAGAATAGAGATTATTTTCCACAAATTAAATCTAACAGAAAATGGGAATTTCCCTGATTGGTTTCTTTTGTATCTTGACAGTGCGTGTTTTTATCTTTGGAAAACCCCTTCATGGTGTTTCTCATATAACCCTTTTAACTTTCAAAATGTCACAAAATCCGCATGTTCCCTTCAACTTTCAACATTTTGCAAACATCCCCGCGAACAGCATTAACTGCAATTTTCACACGGGCTGATAAAATTAAGCACAGCGAGTGAAAATTATAAGTCGCATATCTTACCAAACTCGTTCTGAATCCTCTACAACTCCTACTTCTAAATGACTGTTTGTATTAAACACAGAAGCTTTAGTGTAAATGAATGAATGTACCTTTCTAAGCCAGATTCTAGGTCCTGTTTGTGTGACTCAACCCCTTGACGAAATGCCACTGGCTCACCTTCCACCAGAGCAATATATATGCTCCTATCTCCTTGAGACTCTGATGCTACCGACGTCGATTTAAGAACAAGGGATGAGAAAAGATACAGAGACCATAATAACGAAAAATATCGAAATGGTTCCATCGAGACGGAGAGAATGTGAGCGAGCGAGGAGGGACTATAGGTTGCTTCTAATTATAAGAGAGGGGCTTTCGATACAATGAAAAATGCAAATTATTGTAGAACCACGTCCTTAGCATGAAGTCTTTAAAAGTTGGAAGGTGTATTTAGAGTGTGTATTAATTGTAACAGTCGGCTTTATAACGGGCTTTTATACGTACCATACATAAAAGTTTAGGGGTTTCCATGAATCCTCTTAAAGCTTCACGTTGAACCTCACCATGTCTTTTCCTAATTTGGCGCAGTTAATGAACAGAAAAGTCCGTTAGCGTTGAAGCTCTCATTGCTGCGCAACGTGAGCCTTGGATACATAAAGAGCGATTTTGGGCACATATTTCTTGTTATGGGCCTCATAATAAGAGTGATATATAATTTTAACCAAACTATTTATTACCATATATTTTTGCTAGTTTTAATCCACAAAGAATTAACCAGTGATGTTTAACTCCAATTTTTTGCAAGCAAAATTTCCAATTCCTTCCTTCTGTTGGATGCTTTGTTGAAGTATATCAGTCACCAAAGAAACATTCTAGAGTTCGTAACTTTTATCATCAACACATATAACCACTCCTCGACATATGCTGTCAGTGGAGATAATGCATGAGCCCACTGCAACTGTACATGAAGCGTTCATCATCGCTGGATGCGAAAGAGTGGATGAGATCACATGTATTTAAAAAAAAAATCCACAACGTATCAAAAACATCCTTTGTATAGAAGTATGACATGAACTTCGCCCTGATGCTTGGATTTTGAAGCCACACAGATTCAGCTAACCTTCCCTAAGAGCAGATCATCGTCATCGCTAAGCTTTTCTTGACCTGTTTCCAAGAATTAGCATGGCCATTACTTGGCACTCTATTGTATTTCATCTTGGCTGTAATCTTTTATGACGACTCGATACAGTAGATTGCTTTGGAGGAGCCAGTTTCCGGAGAGAAGCGTGCAAGATCATCACTAGCAAAGGACGAGTTAGTATTAGATAAAATAAGATGAGAGATCAAAGCGAGAAAAGTAAGATAGAGTTGATAAATTACCTGTGTAGCTGACACTGATAGCACAAAAGAATGCTATCTGGAGATTGCACAAGTAGAGTACTACTGCAGTGGCTGTAACCAATAAGAAAAGAATCAATGCGATTTGTCTCTTCAGTTGAAAAAAAAAATTTCTTCATTTAGCAGAATAACCAGTATAGGTAGATTTCATCTGGAAACTACACTATGTCTATAGACCCATATCTGCATCCTGGACCCAAACACTGGATGAGCTTAGAAATCGTACTCCGGTCCTGGGGCTGGCTATGCCTCTTATCGAGAAAATACAGCACTTTTGGGCATTCCTTGAGCACTAAGTGGTAAATATACGATTGTCGCTTTTGTTATTCTCAATGTGGGTGACTGAATCATGACGTGGTAACTGGTAAGTGCTTCTATGAGCATGGTATGTCTAAGACTATTATTTTGTCCGGACATTTTGCAGGAGAGCTTTATTCTTCTGCTCCAGAGAACCATCTGATGTCTGAACTGGCGACTGGGCAAAGTGATACATAAAAGATTTGGCAAAAGATTTATAAAACGTACCGAGATCCTATGTATCAATCAAACATAAGTCCGTAACATGAATTGAATTACTCTTTTTTATATCAGATAGAACTACTTTTTTTTAAATATCAGCCAAGAGTTTTTGTCTAAAACCATTATAGAATGAGGAAAGCACTGAGGACTGTAATTCTAATTATAATGAAAAAAGTACATGGAAACTAATTAGATAGCAAGTTTCCTAACAAATGCACGTTGTCCATATACCAATACACCTAAACTTCTAAATTCCAATAAGACTACCAGAATCTAAGCCGGATCCAAAATTTTAGTAAATTCTACATACTATCACAAGAAAAAAAAATGTATTTTCCTTCAACTAAGCCCAACTATAAGTACAATATCTGTTTCATTCATGTCTAAAAGATGGTGCAACATTTCCAAAATGGAATCCACTCAAAATGGCAATAGCCCTGTTACTCATGTTGCAATACACATAGCCCTCAAGATATTCATGTAATCATCAACGCCACACAAAAGACACATAACCTTGCAACTGTACTTGCCTCGAATCCATCAGAAGCACTAAAGAGGTTTACAAGGAACTACATGCCAAATGAGAACTCATCTGCTCTAATGCTGCCTTAGCATGTGGAGTTTTGGTTCTATTTTGCTAATGAATGGAGGCAATCCCTTTTCTGAGAGAACCCTACCAAACTTTCATATAATTTAGGCTGTTTTGGGAGGCTAGATCAAGTTTCATTTCACTAGTAAGGCCTGAGAATACATCTTTAAAATTTTCTATTATCCTATCAGTTGTAACATAGATTCTCCTAGGCAAATGATACATCCAGAATCGAAAAATGAATATGTGATTGAAATGGAAAGTAGAAAAGGACCAAATGGTGCATCACTTTTTTTTCACTCAACTTATGCTACTAAAAAAGCTAAGGTGCTCATTTCGATCGATAACCCTGAATCCCCACATTAGACATTCTTCTGCTAAAAATTAAAAACTTATTCACATCCAGAACCTCAAAAAGATCCCCATGTACAATAGATAATACAGTTTGAACAAGTCTCCATTAGATATCTCAAGAACCAAAATCTTCAAGTCTGTTAATGTATACATTATGAAGATCTATGTAAGATATGGATATATTAGTATATTAGGAATATGTAGCTGAGAGGTATTATGAATGTGATTGAGAGAATGAAGGAATATGTTAAGAATATGTTTGGCATATTCCTAAGAGTATGTAACATATGTTTATTTCCTAGTAGTATAAATATAAGAGATCAACATAGCTCTAAAATAGAATTTGTGGTTTTCCTCAGAATTATTTTCAACAAATCCCAAGCACTTTTCATCCTAAGTCTCATAAAAATTCATTAACTGCATCTAAATATAGTTTAAAAAAACATGCTACTCTATATCGCCTGATATTCGAGTTTCGTGCTCAGCTTTCATTTTTCACTTTTCTACCAAATACATATTCGAAATATTCTTGTCTTACTTAAATCTCTAGTTGGTGTTGCACTAATGTGTTTGGATAGGAGTAGTTGGAGCCTCAATGTTTCTCAAGTACATTCAAATTTTAGCATACATGTTTTGTTGGATGTTGTTACAACAACCAAAACTTATTGTAAAAAAGGGAAAATATGCTAACAAAAGTGTTCAAACAGCACAAAGTTGGAACACATTTCTTTTCTATATCTACTCTGAATCAAACACACCATAAAATCTATCAAATGCAAGTAACCCTTCTTTCATTTCAACTATTAGCACCACCCTTCTCCTTGGAAATTCTCAACTTTAAATTCATCAAACAACGAAATGGAAATCAAAATCCATTAAAAGCAAAAGCATAACGAAACTTACCACATTGCACGATCCGAACCAAGACCATCCTCAATCCCGGGCACTTCTCCTCCATCTCCCACCTCTCGCTGCAAAACCTCACCCCCTCCCACATCATCAAACTCAACACCACCCCCAGCAACGGCACCGGCATCTGATACCTACAGAAAACCAACAAAGAACCCAACTTTATCAAAATCCCTAACCACCCACAACAAAACCCCACCCAAATCCAAACCAAAACAAACACTCACAACGAGCAAGCGAGAAAGATCAGAGAAAGAAACGCATAGTTCCTCGCATATCGCCTCACGTTCTCCTGGACCCGCATCCGGGCCTGCGACGGCCCATTGGGCCAAGAGTACGAGTCCAAGCTCCCAATAAAGGCCAGAGTCCACGACGGGGTCGAGCCGGCGAAGTCGTCGGGGGTCAATTTGGCGAAGGGGTTGAGGGTTAGGAGGGAAACTAGGGTTTTGAGGAGGGAGAAGAGGGATTTGGGGGTTTTGGAGAGGGTAGGGTTAGGGTTTGGGGTTTTCGAGGCTGAGGGTGGACACGTGTCGGTTGAGGAGGAGGAGGAGGAGGAGTGGGAGTCGAGGAGCTCGAGGTAGCCGGTGTCCCGGAGCCAGGACTCGAAGGCGGGGTCGGGGACGCTCAGAGAGAGGGGGTTGGCGGAGAACACCATGATTTTTTTGGCGGTGAATTTTTTTTTTTTTTTGAGGGGGAGAGGGTACAGAAATAATGATGATAAGGAAGGAGGATTTTGGTATATTTTTTCTCTCTCTTTATTTATGATTGGGGAAATTGCATACTAGTCCCTTACATCATCTCTAATTGCCAAAGAGACACTCAAATCTCATTACTTTCTTAGTAGTCCCTTAAATCTTCAGTTTTATTGTCATATGGTCCTTCTGTTAGAAAACTGTTGACTTCCTTAACTGTAGCGAGTTAATGCTTAACCCAACAACTCAAGTTATTTTATTGCTTTAGGGTATACATTTCACTCCTAAGTTTTGGGTCTAGAGGAAAGTTAGCCATGGTAATTGCCTCAATTTTGTGTTTGAGGGAAGCATGAGACCACCAGAGAAGAAAGAAGGTCGGTTTAATTTAATATAGGGGGGGGGGTATAATGGGTATCCTACCTAATTCTATTACATTTAACGGTTATTAATAACATTACCTAACATGAGGAACAAATTGGTAAGAAAACTAAAGTTTTAAAGAACTATTAAGTAAATAATAAGATTTAAAGAACTATTTTATAAATAAAGATGATGTAAGGGACTAATAAGTAAATAGTAGATTTAAGGGACTACTCGGATTCTTTTTTGGACCCACACTGTTCTAAAACTCCAAAAAAAAGTCAGAAAAAACTGTTGTTTTTATATATTTGCTATTTTTTCACGAAACCACCCCTAACTTAGATCTTATCTACACCGCTACTCTTAATTATCCGAGTTTCACAAAACCACCTCGATCCACCACTGCATCAAGATGAAACCACTCACGTCATTTTCCATCAAATTTTCCCATTTATATCAATAGATTACTAATCATATCAGCTGAAAAAATGTTTGTGCAATAAAATAGAGTTTTCTTATTTATTTTGTAATTTTTTGCAATCTTTGTTATAATTCTCACTAGAAGAATTACAGGGGGAAATTGCTTTATTAGCCATAGTAATATGATTGGTCGTATGAACGGTCATTGTAATTTCTTTACCTTAACACATCCCTCAATTTTTTGTATTATTAGTGTGTTTGGTAATCGAGGTGTTTGTTTTTGTTGTATTTTTTAGAAAAACATTATGTCATGGTGTTTTTTTTTCAAACATATTTTGAAAACACAATTTATAGTTATTATTTATAAAGCGGCGGCGGCGGCAAAAACGCTCCGGTTGCCAAACGCGTTTTATTGTTTTTGTTAAAAACAAAAACAGAAACGGTAAAAACGTCACGGTTGCCAAACGCTCCCTTAAGAGATTGTAGTAACCACTTGTGTGAAGTTTTTCATTATCACCTTCTATTTGTAACATCTTCAAAAATTTCTAATTAATATTTTTCATTCTCATTTCAATTTGTTTTAAAATTCCAGCCCTTTTTCCCCCATTGAACCATCATCTCATCATAAAAAACCATAAATGGATGGATGGTGATGGATCATGTATGAGTGACGAGTGGGACAAATTTTCAAAACCAACCCTTTTGGGTTTTTAATTGCAAAAAACGACCGGTTTTGAAAATATTTATAAAAACCGACCTGTTTTCAGCCCCCTGGCTGAAAACAGGTCGGTTTTTGAAAAAAAATTTCCCAAACTTCACGGGAGTTCAACTCCCGTGAAGTTTTTCTCATAACAAAACTTCACGGGAGTTGAACTCCCGTGAAGTTTGGGAAAAAAATTTTCAAAAACCGACCCAGTTTCAACCAACTGGGTCGGTTTTTATAAATAATAGTGAAATGGGTCGTTTTTTGCAATTAAAAACCCAAAAGGGTTGGTTTTGAAAATTTGTCCGTCACGAGTGTGTTCCAAAAAAGCATCCTATGACGTTAATTAAAGTCTTTGGTCCAATATAATTCCAAAATTCCCAAATAACCCCTCTGTCTGTCCTGTGTATGGAAAAAGCCCAACCAGAAGCAGCACCACCACCACCATCAACAGCACACTACCGCCTCCTCTCTCCTCCCATTTCTAGGGTTTCCTGCAGAGGGGGGAAAAAACCCTAAGGCTAACCCTAACCCTAAATCTCTCCATCAAATCCATGGCCAAGACGAAACCAGGCAGAAAAGACCTCGATTCCTACACCATCAAGGGCACCAACAAAGTCGTCCGAGGTAAAAAAAAAAAAAACCAAAAATCCCAGTAAGAAACCCTAAAAATGCAATCTTGTTCATCTTTTGATTCCGTAATCGGTCTTTCAGCTGGGGATTGCGTCTTGATGCGGCCGTCGGACTCCAATAAGCCGCCGTACGTCGCTCGCGTGGAAAAGATCGAGGCTGATCATCGGAGCAATGTGAAAGTTAGGGTTCGGTGGTATTACCGGCCCGAGGAATCGATAGGTGGAAGGAAACAGTTCCATGGAGCTAAAGAGCTGTTCTTGTCTGATCATCATGATGTGCAGAGTGCTCATACTATCGAGGGAAAATGTGTGGTGCATTCGTTTAAGAATTATACCAAGCTCGAGAATGTTGGGGCTGAGGATTATTTCTGTCGGTTTGAGTACAAGGCTGCTACTGGCGGGTTCACGCCTGATCGAGTTGCTGTGTGAGTAATTTGAAGTTGTTGTTATTGTTTGGTTTGTTATATATATATTTTTGGGGATTATTTTTTGATGAAAAATGGGATTTTGGTGTTGAAGGTATTGCAAGTGTGAGATGCCGTATAATCCGGATGATCTCATGGTTCAGTGTGATGAATGCAAGGATTGGTAAATCTATTATTGCTTCTTGTTCTTGGTTCGGGAAATATTTTCTCGCACACTTGTCTACGTTGATTCGCTAATTGCCATCCGATTGATGCATGCAATTTAGTATTACAATGTTGTTATTGTGGCAATATCATGATTTGATAAATACCTATTCGAAATAAACAACCATCTCGCACATTTTCTTATTGGAAACTAAAACAAATTAATAGAAGCAAATAACTATATGTAACGTTGTAACTATTTCCAAGATAAACCGTCTCAACAATGCATGAGTTAGGCATGGATAATAGCATGGAAGCTCGAAATGTATGGATAATAGCTGTAGAATTCTAGGGATTCCTGTTCTTTTACCCTGTGCCTTAATGCTTTTAATGTCGGATGAAGATTTCTGTGTTGTTCTTTAGTTTCTCATCATGGAATGACTTTGGTGGTGATGAGATATCTGGTTACTTTATTGGATAGATAATGTGGTATCAAGTATGAGAGACGGGGTTAACTGGTTGCCAACATTGTTGCCTTTTGGCTTTAACCAACAGTGTCCTTCGTGTATTTTGACAATATCATCTCACTGTCAACTTTTGTTCTTAATAAGTTCACTTCACATATTTTTCCTTTTTTGTTGAAATATGAAGTGGCATTTGCTGTTGTACGCTACCATCATTACTTTCTGTTTTCACGATTTGTTGCAGCTAACAATTAAGGTTCTCTGCTAGGAATAAATCTTATTTATTAATTAGACATCCTAACTTATGTGTGTGTTGGTGTCGGATACCACTTTGGTTTATTATTTATCTTCATTTATTTCTGTTTTCAATGACTAGGTTCAAGTTGGCTGCTTAAAATCTATTCCTCTATAATAATAGGAGGACCCAGAAGCACTATTCACACTACAGTAATGCTACAGTTCTACTACTGTAGCATTTTCAAAGAAATAGCACTGCAGGCGGAATACCATCATCTGAAAAAGTGCTGTAGCGTTTTTAAAAATATTGCTGTAGCAAAAGTGAGACACTGTAGCATTTTAAAATTTATTACTGTAGGATTTAGGATAATTGCTGTAACACTTAAGGCTGTAGCATTTAAAAAATATTGTAGCAATTAAAAAGCATGTAGCATTTAAAAAATATTGTAGCAATTAAAAACGGATTTCTGTAGCAATAAAAAAAAGGAAGGCCGTGCTTCGCACGGGGCGCACACTAGTGCTAATTTAGTCAAGCTTTGGATTTTTCATTGTACAATATATTTGAGGCTTTTTTACTTCTGAACAAAATTTGTGGCTACAGAAAGACTGCCAAATTTTTAGTGCAGACACCATAATAATGTGCATAGTATTTAGTTTTACTATGAGAAAATTTCTGAATTTTGACACCCTAGCGTTGTTGCGAGTCATTGTTTGAAGAAGGTTGCAAATATTATCCTATCATCAAGAAGGTAAACTCTGCCCTGCTTACATCATTTTCCATCTTAAGCTCAAAATCCATGCTATTTTAACTAATGTACATATGCACAATTTGTTTACATCAAAATTTCCACCACATTCTGCACGTGTATGATGATCAGAAACTCGTTCAATCATTATCTTCTTGACTAGATCTCATGATTATGTGGTCTTTGCTGCCAATGCTCAACCTTTCTCCCTATGATTTGGGATTGACTTCATGGGTTTGGGTTGGGATTGTCTTTATGGGTTTTCAGACCTTATTCATCTAGTTTTTCAGCCTTCAGCATAAGCTCTGACAAACAAAGTTATTTGTTTAATTTTTTCTTTTTCCAGAAACCCTCAATACTAGTGTCAAGAAAACAAAAAAGAGCAAGGGAAGAGGGTGAACTAGTTGAGTTAATTAGAGCTTCAGTTTCTGTCTTAATATTTTTTTAGTCCACTAAATCTGTCTACTGCTCACTCCATCCACTACACAGCATTTTTTCAAAACTTCTATAGGTTTTTCTCCGCTTATAATTATATGATTGATTTTTGTGCATTCTTAATTCACATGTCTCTGGTAACATTGTCAAATAGCTTACTCGACTGGATTGTGGGTTAACAATGTACGTCAAGCAAACCTATGGAAAAGCTTACTACCCCATATTTCATATTCGGAAAGGTGGAACTTATACGGGTAAGTTCACACATTTTAAAAAGTCAATTATGAGATTCAAAACATGGATAACCTGTAGGGGTGTTAACGGAGCGGATACGGTTCGGATATGGCACTTACCATATCCATATCCGCTTTTTATAAACGGATACGAATACGGATACAGATTATCTTCGGTAAGAAAAAACCTTAACCATATCCGCACTCATCAGAAACGGATATAGTTTCGATATTAGAGAATTGAATCGGATACGATCACGAATATGAAACAGATATTTGACAAACGGATATGAATCGGTTTTTGTACAAATGAGGTAAGCAGATATCAACATCAAATGATAAAAATATAATAAAATAATCACATATATATAATATCATCAACTGTACCTAGAAATTTATAAAGTATCTAAGCAGTTGATATAACCAACAAAGCAAAGCATCAAAAAAGCAATCTAGATATGTAATATCATCATTTCAAAACAACTTGATTCACATATAATCAGAATTACTTCAAACAAACACCAAACACAAACAAATAAAGCCACATAATTAGTTCTATAGAGTTTTAATCTAACACATCAAGGCAAAATTTAACTAGAATATGACACTTATAATCACAAATTGATAAAGCAAATGTATGTAAAACTAGAGTTTCGATTCAACCTTATGGAATAGCAAGGATGATGGATCAACGAGGATGGACGGTGGTGGACTAGGCGTGCTAGTCCTGCTCGTGGAGAAGCGCGTTGGAGAGGGGGCAGAGGGGGAGGGAGAAGACGGCGGCGGAGGTCGAGCGAAGAGGGGTCTGAAGGCAGATCTGAAGGAGGAGGTTAGCGGAGGTCGAGCAAGAGGGGAGGAGTGACAGGGTGCCAAAGATGGAGGGTGAGAATCGACATCTTGGTGGAGCGGTGTCGGAGTGGGGAATGACAGGCTGACAACAGAGGTTGAGGGAGGGAGTGATAGCGGTGGTTGAGAAGTTGGGAATTGAGGAATGAAGTCAGTAAAGCTAGGGTTTTTTTATCCAGATATTTGGGTTTTGGGTTGGTTAGCTGTTACGGGTTTTGATATATAAATGGATCTTAATCTTTATGTTAATTGAATTGCGGATATCCGTATCCGAATCTGTATCTGAATCTGCAACAAAATCCTACACTCATATCCGTATTCGAATCCGTATCCGAAAAAATCGAAACCGAATTCGTATCTGAATCCGTATCCGAATCCGCAACCGAAACCTACACATCCGTATCCGAAAAAAACCAAAACCAGATCTGTATCCGAAACCGTATCCGCCCGGTTTTAAAAATAGCTTATCATATCCGCATCCGTTTGGATACGGATGCGGATCGGTTCAGATAAAACCAAACTGTTTGGCACCCCTAATAACCTGATCTCTGACACCCTTAAGGCAAGTATTTCAACCACAAAGGCTTGAGCTAGCAATTGAATTGCATTTTTATTAATCAGGAAAATCAGGCTAATGTAACAAGAACTTTTTATCTATTGCACATTCTCTTTTTACACCTTGAAACATTTTTTGGCAGATTACATTTTTATTAAAGTTCATCTGCAAACTAGATACTAGTGATTGAATACATGTATTTCAAGTTACTGACTTTTTTTCTTCTCTGCACTCATCTTCCTTATCATGTAAACGAGATTGTTAAAGAGAATCACCATTTGAAAAGAAAATTCTCTTGCTTGCTTTAGAATTTAGTCTCTGAAGTTCCAACTTCGATTCAACTATCTGTTGTAACTTCTGTATCATCATGGAAAATTCTCTGGCTGCCTGCTTCTGGGTGTTGTTTCATGGAACATCGTGTTCTCTTGCTTTTCATAGTTTCCTTGTCCTCTTTGATTTCCTTTTAGCATCTTCTGGACATTTTAGCTATTCTCATTCATCTTTTACTTCTTTACCTGTAGCAAGATTTAAAGTATGGGTCAATGGTGTTACATATCAAGATTCAACCAAAAGTGACCGATAAGCCTAATATTGTCTAATAACATAACTCCATTTTCATTAAAAATATTGTTTCTTCAAATTATTAAAGACGGATAATGTCAAAACACTCCCAATGTTATTTTATGAAGCTTGGGCATATTAGAATCTTCCGTATGTCAATTGCACTCTCATGTTCTTATAAGGATAATTGTAGCTTTCCTTGTTAACTTTTTATACCTTATCAATAATCAATTTTAGTCCTTTTGATTTTTAACAAGCATCCAGGATTCCAGATATTGCTCTTACTATGACACGCTAAACATCCATCTATATTGTCTATCAAAAAAGATTATCATTGAAATCATACGTACTATCTACTGATCGCCACTGTGCTTTGGTTATGAGGTTCACGATGGTGCAACAGGTTCTATATTATTTAGATATTGAAGTATTTCCATCCTCCATAGGGATGTCATGGTTTATTTTGATTTTAAGAGGACTATTTTGTGATTGTAATAAAATAAGGATCATATTTGCTGAGGCCAAATAGAATGGACTACTAATTTATCATTTATCGTAAATGAAAAAAGGACTAATGGTTGATTTTTGACCTACTCCATACATTGAGAATTCCAATCCAAAATTATTGCACACTCTTGAATTCCCTATATTGATACTAGTAAAGGTGAATCAGGAACAGCAGCAACAACACTAGCCGTTTACGCAGGGTTTTGGTAAGCTTTTCCGCAACAATTAAAGTGATGTCTGGTTGAAGCTGACCATAGGACTGTCAATATCTATAGTAGCTTTTGTGCATCCTTATCTGACCCTTCTTTCTGGAAGAGATTTTGAAGGTATTGAAAAGATAGATTTATAGCTAACGCATCATGTTTGTGATACCTTTTGGGTATTTGTTCTTTCAGTTGTTCGATGAGACTATTTTCTAATTGCCACTCTCTTCCGAGATTCAAAATTGGTGGTTGGGACTTTTGATTTGTATCCCTATGCTCTTTCAGTTATACTGTTTTCTGTTCCCAGTGTCCATCTGATGTTATTTTTGGTGTTTTGATGAATGATTTATCTTAGCACATAATTGCTGGACCAGGTTTCATCCATCGTGTATGGGTATGACTATTGAGCAAGCAAAGAAATTAGATCACTTCCTGTGTTCAGATTGCTCCTGTCAAGATGATGGCAAGAGGTCTGCGAATGGTTTTCACGATTCACCTGAGCCAAAGGTGAGAAACATATTGTTCTTTTTCTTTCACATTTCCTCTTTTTCAACTAATTTGATTAAGTACACTGTTCAGTATGAGATGAAGCCTTGTATGTTACTTTGTTAAAGATGTTAGAAGGTCTTTTTAGTTACTCCTCAGCACTTCATATTTATCTTTTTAAGATTTTGTTATAATCATATTAGTCCCCCAGATCTTTCATATTTAAGAACAATGATCTAAGAAAAAACAATGGCGGTGGCTTAGGTAAGAGGCCATTTCAAGGGTGTGATGGCATCATCTAAAAGGTGTCGGGTGATCAATCGTCTGAGGGTTTTATCATTAATAAGATCTATAGAGATATCTCCTTCGTCCCTTCTACCAACTTCTCACATCCCCAGAAGCAACCTGTTGGCTTTTCCACTTTCCCTAAACCCTTTTCTGCACTGTTTTGAGAACTCTCTTCAACAAAGCAACCCATTGTCCCCCAAATTTCTTCTTTTGCTTCTTCGTTGCGGAGAGGTCTTGGTTTTGACAACGCAATTGAAGAGGAACATAGGAGAGGAGGCTGGAACAAGGTTGTGAATAAAAAGAAGGAGAAGAGAACGGAGCAAAAGATGTTCCCTCAATGCCCCATCCCTGACCAAGATCTGGCAGTGCATAGGCCCAGGGTCTGTTATAATTGTGGGGACGAATCTCATAGTGCGAGGTGGTGCAAGAGAGGGCCGCTTGTTGCAGATGCAAAGAGGAGGCCACTTAGCTATAGAATGCATATCCTATCTGCGTCCTCTTGAAAAAAAGGTGGATCTTTCAAAATCCAAGCAGGTACCCATCGATGCTAAAGTTTTATCTTCTTTTAGGATATTATTGATTAAAGAAGGATCCACTTCGGTGGGAATGTTGAAAGTCAAATTATCCACTAAATTTAAATACTTGGGCTGGGATGGGAGGATTGTTCCTATGGATGGTTATCATTTTCTAATCCAGTTCCTTAACTTGCTTCACAAGACGGATACAATACGGATACAATAGATGAGAGGCTTATTAATTTTGGTGGTTTTAAAGGGTGGTTCTCCCCACAGATGGAAAATTTGGGTATGGTGCAGGTTGACTCTTATTATTTCTCATGGATGAAGATCAAGAACCTTCCCTTCATTTATGATTGGAGGAGTCATTGGGGATGATCGTTGAGAGCTTTGGGGAATATGTTATGTAAAAATCTGCAAGAAAAGAGGAATGAGAAAGGATCATTGTTCAAGTCAAAACACCCAAAGACATCCCAAAAACTGTGGTATGCTTGTACAAGTCCCAGATTGACGAAATCACTAGGGACGTGAAGCTTGAGATTACCCCGGTGGGGACAGCCATTTATTCATCTCAGTTTGGTGGCACGAATCTCTTGGGTCCAAAAGCTCAAGGAGAGGTCTCTCCAGTTTCTTCGTGGGGTGATGAGGCTGTTAGCAAGGCTAAGGTTCAAGAGCCTCCGAAGTTGGGTGGCAAACAGATGGCCATGGAGCATGATGATAGTGAAGCAGAAGGGCAATCTGGTAATTTTGTATTTGATAAGGGCAAAATGGTCATGGTGGGTGATTTGAATCAAGCGGGATCTGCGGCTCTCAAATTGGTAGGGGAAGATATCGTGGGTAAAACTGGGATCAGTTATGATAAGCAGCCTAATTTAAGGGATATTCAAGATCCTTCTGTTTCGAGACCCCTGATTAAGCTGAGCTGGTAGAGAAAGAGTGGGAGGGCAAGAAGGTCATGTCTGAAAAGTCAACCTGGGAAATGCTTAGTAAAGGACCAGTTGATCTTAATCACTCATCTAACTCAATTACTCCTTTCCCACCACAAGATGAAGTTCAAAGCTCTGAGGAACCAGCATCTCTCTCTGTTCCTCCTTGAATTGAGACTTGGGAGAGGTGCTCGAATAAAGTAGCAATTTGCTAAGGCCGTCTCTAGTCTCAAACACAGACCCTACCTCGGGAATCTCTCTGTTAATAAGCAATCTGCTAAGGTTGTCTCTAGTCTCAAACACAGACCCTGCCTCCGGCATCTCTGTCAACAAGGACTCTTGCTTCATCTAAGAAAGGTAAATCTAAATCCTCCTCTGTTGAAGAGTTATTTGACATAGCAGTCTCTTGTTGGTTTTAAAGGACCATTCGCCCTCCCCCACCACACCACCACCCCCCCCCCCCTCTGTTTCGCAGAGTTAAAGTCCTTAGAGGTTAAAAGAGCAAATCAATGCTCTTAGCTATGGTTTTATGGCCTTTGTTGGGGGAGGAGGTTTTTCCCCCTTTCTCTTTTCTTTGTTTTTTATGAAGATAGGAACATGGAATGTAACAGTTCTAAATTACCCTGTTAAGGAGAGAATGATAAAGAGGATGGTAACCTGATTGCTGGCTTAGATTCTGTTGGGCTTCAAAAGACCAACCTTAGTTGTTCCTCAGCTAGGATGCTTATTTCTACTGGGGATATGAAGATTTCTTCCTGTAGACGCTAATGATACCCCGCGTGGAGGAGGGGTTTTTTTTCGGGGGGGAGGGGTGTCCTACTTGGATGGAGCAACAATTTCTTGTTGATGAAGAATATCATATAGGGTTATTTTAGTTGCAGATCTTTTAGGCTTTTTAAATTAGTTCCTTTGTTACATTTATCATCCAAATTGTTAACCAATAGTGGGTTACTGGTTAAGAAGGACAAGTAATTACCAAATTATCCTCATAAAATAAATCCTCTATCCGAATGCGGATATTTTTCCCAGAATCAATGCCACAAGTGATCAAAAGGTTTGAATGCGTAAGAGTATAATTGGTGTTGCGTTCAAAACTGGTAAATATGACGAAATATTCCCTCAGACCAACTTCTTACCATAGGGGCTAATTTCAGAACACTTTAAAAGATTTGTAGGACTGATATCAAAATATAAAGATCTGGCGGACTAATTTCGAAATATGAAAGATTTGGGGGACAAATATTGAAAAAGCCCGATATTTGCTCATCTTAGTGTTTTTTTTCCAGGGAGGGTGGGGGTGAGGGGTGGTTTGGTGGGGGGTTGGGGTGTTCTAGTTGGATGGAGCGATAATTTCTCTTTGATGAAATCTCATAGAGTTATTTTATTCACAAATCTTATAGGTTTTTAAATTAGTCCCTTTGTCACATTTATCATCCAAATTGCTAACCTTTATTGGGTACTGGTTAACAAGGATGGGTGATTACAAATTACCCTCCTAAAATAAACCCCCTGAGAATGAGGAAATTTATTCTCGCTTCAAATTTTGAGAATGGGGAAAGTTTTAGCAGAATCCATGCCAAAAGCAATCAAAAGGTTTGAATGCATAAGGGTAAAATTGGTATTGCACTCAAGGATGTTAAAGATGACAAAATATTTCCTCAGTTTCGACAGACTTCTAACCGGAGGGGCTACTCTCGGAACACTAAAAAGATTTGGGGGACTAACTTCAAAATATGAATATCCGGGGCACTAATTTCAAAACGTGAAAGATCTGGGGGACTAATATTGTAAAAAACCGAACTTTGTTTATCTCGGATATTGTTCTGTGCATGTCATTTTGGGACTTAATTGAGAAGTTAAAAGTTCTTGAAAAACACGCACCATAACTCAAATTTCAACTCTTTGGTAACAATTCTATGCAGACGGGGTCAAAAAGGAGAAAGAGGTAGTCACATGCAGGAAATTGGCTTAATTTCTCTTTGGCAAAGTGGCAGCAGCTCTTCCACTGTTGTTTTTTGGGTTTTATGAAAATTGTACAGTGCAGAGAAGAGATTGTTCTGGCACTAAGAATCAGTTCCTTTAGCTTGTAAAATGTGCTTTAATTTCGTTGGAAACTCGCGGGAATATGTAATTGTCGCCTTTTTACTTGTAACGTGTTCTTTTGTAACTGCATTTCTGTTGTGTGAGATTTCCTCCGTGAATGATAAATGCAAACCCTCTCATTATCCTGGGACCTTCAGCTCATATTTTCACCTGCGGTCTTGTTGTGGATAAGCTAGATTCGGTGTTCTACTAAAATTAATTTAACTTTTTTGGTATTGTTTTCAGGGTTTTTCTGTAGAGGGTTCTCCGTATGACTCTTTTCTCCGTCGTAGATTTGAAAACATGCTCCAAGCGTAAAAGATATTATATTTGCATTCCCGTTTGGTTTAGCATCAAGACTGCGGACGCTGTTTTGTGATGAATGCTTTCTTTTTTGGGAGGCGTTACAGGCATATTTTCGGGCACACCTCCCCGCTCTAGCTACAGTGCATCGATGCACTGTAGCTAGAGGGGGTGTGTGGCCGGAGGTGTGCCCGAGGGTGTGCATGTATCATTTTTCTTCTTCTTTTTATGGTCGTGGACTAGTTTTTGAGTTAAACCGTTTCTGTTGGAACCGAGAGAGAGAGTGGTGGATCAAAAGATACTACTAGTTCAAGGCGTTCTTTCCAGTCTAAGAAAAAACTTGGGCTGAAGTTGGGCTCTGTTTTGTCCGAACAAGTTTCTTCCCATGACGGGGATAAGATTAGACTTGGTCCTATTTTGAGAGTTTACTTAAAGATCCAAGCTCTCTCATGTAAGTAGAGGTCTCTAAAATTAAATATATTTACATATTTTAAATATTTGTAAGAGCAATAAAAATAAAAAGGGCGACTGTTTAAAATACGAGCCAAAATACAATTGTTTGTTACAGAAACGAAAGAAAACTGTACTTTAGCAAGTTGAATAAGATTCTACGGATGATGGTTTCGATCCTTGAACGGAACGGAGTTTTCTCACTTCCACCAGCAAATTTTATTTCTTTGATGTAAATTGTCAACTCTAATTACATAAACATAAATGATGTTATGGCTAAAAGAGCTGGGGTCATAAATTATGCAATTTGAAATGTAGAATAAGATAATAATTCCTTAAAAAATGTAGTTATACTCTTAGGTCCCGTTTGGCAAAGGGTTAAGAAAGAGGGGTTAAAGAAAAGGATTAATGTACTTAGCCTGTTCGATAATCCGAAGGACTAAGTTATTAACCCGTTAAATAAGTTTTATTTTAGTTTCTGTCATCAGTTTTAGTATTTGAGAATAACAATGTTTTTGATTATTTTCTTTATAATTAGAAGGGTTAACTCTTAATCCTTCTAAATAGGAATATTAGTAAACCCCTCATTTTGAGGGGTTAACTCATTTTAATCCCTCTAGAGGGGTTAGCTTAACCCTTCTATATTTTTTATGTTTGACAAATTATGAAGGGTTAACTCACTTTAACCATTGTATAGATTTTTTGTGTTTCGCGGGTTAAGAAGGGGTTAAGTCTCCTTAACCCCTCACTTAACTCTTTGTCAAACGGTACCTTAGACCCCATTTGGCAAAGGGAAGAGGGATTAAGTAGAATGGTTAACGTAGTTAGCTCATTTAATAACCCAAACGACTAAATTCTTAACCCATTAAAATAAGTTTTATTTTAACCATTATGATCAGTTTTAGTGTTTGGGAATAACGAGGATTTTGACTATTTTCTTTATAACTAAAGGGGTAAAATCTTAGTCCTTCTAAATAAGAGTATTAGTAAAGCTCTCTGGTTAACTCATTTTAATCCCTCTAGAGGAGTTAAACTTAACATTTATGCATTTTTTTCATTTGGTAAATTATGAAAAGTTAACTCACTTTAACCATTCTATAATTTTTTCTGTGCATGTCGGGTTAAGAAGGGGTTAAGCCTTCTTAACCCCTCACTTAACGCGTCGCCAAAAGGCACCTTAAGTCTCTTTAAAGTAAGATAATATTTGCTTAAATATTTTTAAAAAAATGAGAATCCTACCCTTTTATGATCTTTTCTATCTCATATTATTCGTATCTTCACTCGTGATCGCAAACTTTTATTACCAAACACGGTTCTGATCTACCTACCGACTTTCCCAGCGAGGCACTTATGACAAGGACAATAATCATAATAATTGGGCTGAGATTTACTAAACATGCCCCCCAATATTGCACTTACAGGATAGCAATTGGGCCCACTAATGATGGTCCATTAGTTTACGCAGTTATTTGGGCCTAGTTGGGCCCACTCCCATTACTTCTCACCAAAACCATACCAAACCCCCGCTGACACCCTTAAAAACCAGAGTTATCACGTTCATGCTACCAAAAATAAGGTTTTATTTTTTTTAAATTTTTATTTTTAACTAAATAATAATAATAATAAATGAAAAGTGAGGGTGTTACTGGTAAGTATTAGCTCGCGCGGAAACAAGGCATGAGAGGTGGACCAACTTTAGGACCTACCCGAGCAGGTAAGGTAAGTCAAGTACTTTTTAATTTTATTTGACTCAGGATTTTTTTTTTTATTGCAAGTATTCTTTTGGGTTAAATAATTGCGAATAGATCCCCCTAGGATCGACGAGTTATGAATACATCCTCTATAGCTCTGAATGTGCGGATAGACTCTCCGAGTGAATTTTTTTCCCCCACTCTTGAAGGAGCAAAATATCGGTTATATAGTTGCGGATGGATCTCCTGTAGTTCTATTTAGAAACCGGATTAAGATAAAATGAGTCTATTTTTAGAAAAAATATGAATATGTTTATTTAGAAAATTTCTTCCATGGAAAAACATTAAACTTTCATTTGTTTGTCGTTTTGCAGCATGAATTGTCTAAATGTGTCTCAAAATCTACATCTTTTAACGAGATCTAGTATCATCATAGCATTAACGCCCATAATGTAATTTTTCAAATATAATGTGTACTTTTGTTTTGAATTTGGTGCTTCTAAGAATCTCCCATGATCAGCTTTGAGCAACAAAGAGCTCTTAAATCTCATATATATCTTTCTATTTACTTAAAGAATCAAACTTTGCATGATTGGAAAACATAATCATAAAAGTACAAGAGCGTAAGAGCAATCATATTTTTCAAGAAAGGAGAACGTAAACAATTTTATTTATGACTTTATTATGTCCCTCTTCTCGAATTCTAATTCTCTCCGCTCATTCCAAATACCGTTTGCACTTTTGTACCCGACATTTAGGGGCTGTTTGTTTCAAATCCTATAATTTTAGGATATGAATTTAACCATTAGATTTAAAATCCATAGGTGTTTTGTTATGGGTTGAGATTTTTAAAATGTTGTTTGTTTCATTAATATTTTGGGATTTAGAATACTACAATTTGTAATATTTTGTTTGTTTCAAGCTTAAATTGTAGCATTACCAAATGCCAAAATTTTATAATATGATGAATATTCTATCTTGGTGAGGTTACCTCCTATAAAAAAACAAAATTAGAATTTGTCGAATCCTCTCCAATTGAGAGGTAAACACACTCATTTATGAGATTTGTCAAAATCCTCTCCAATTGAAAGGATTTGATAATTTCTAAAAATTGGACACTTTTTGCATTTTTGGGACTCAATATTCTAATTTTTTTTAAACAAACACCATATATGAAATCCTAAAATACAAAAAACTTATTTTTTAATCCCAAAACTTGTAATCCATACCAAATGTCAAAAGTTTTCGCGAAACAAACACCCCCTTAGAAAAGGAACTAATATGCAAATTGCTGGTTTCATGCGTACTAAAATAAGCAAATAGAAATATCAAAGAAACCAACATAAAAACAACAATAATAAATGTCAACATCACAGAAACTCTATGAGTCATATGCATTATGCAGTCACCGCTTCTCTCAGAGTGTTTATTATATTCTTATACGTTGGAGTTTTCTCTTTATGATTCCTTTGTTGAGCCTTCTTCCCCTTGTTAAATCCTCTTGTTTCTTCCTTTTGCAAATTTTAAATTATTTTTTAATCTCAAAAAGACTTTTGCCGACAATCCCAAGCAAAGGATCTAAATCCCCTCTTAATACTTGAGTAGCTCTCATTAGCATCACCATTAAAACCTGAGCCTGAGCTATAGAGAGAGAGAGAGAGAGAGGGGAGAGAGAAAATGCATTCTCTTTTTATTCCTCTCTTTCTTCTTCTGCTGTGTGCCTCTGTGATCGTACAGTCCACCACTGATCCTAAGGATGGTAATTTTCCCCCTTAAAACCCATTCATTTAGTCTAATCAATGCCAAATGCTCGAAATTCCAGTGAAAGGAGCAGTTCCTCTTTGTGGGTTTTTTGCAAATGTTGATGCCCAGCTCAGTTTCGGTTGAAATATTGATACCCATTTCATAATTTTCATTAAGTTCTCTTGAAAGGAGCAATTTTTCTTTCTGGGTTTTTGCGAATGTTGATGCCCATTTCGTTAAGTTTTATTAATTTGTATAATTGAGCTGAAAAATTGATCCCTTACTTGCAGCTGAATCTCTTGGGATCCTGTACAGCTCCTTGAATAGCCCACCTCAGCTCTCTGGATGGAGCTCAAATGGTAGTGATCCTTGTGGAGAGTCATGGAAGGGGATTACTTGTTCTGGTTCAGCCGTCTCCTCAATGTGATGGAAATTTCTAATCTTAATGCAATCTTTTTATTGAATTGAATCCTAATATTGATGTTCGTTTAGTTATCTGATGATTGTGTTGTTGTAGCCAAATTTCTGGGTTGGGGCTTAATGGTACTCTTGGATATACTCTATCTGATTTGCTGTCTGTGAGAACACTGTGAGTAAATCTGTCATCTTATTTTTAACTGAGAAAGGAAAATTTGCATTGCAATGATGATAATTTGATTTTTTTTTGCTTATTATTTTATTGGTAGGGATTTGAGCAATAACAACATACATGACACAATTCCGTATCAACTGCCACCAAATCTTACCTATCTGTATGCTTTTATCTATTTCTCTTTTCTCCTCTTCTTTAGAAATTTTATAAACACTTGATTTGAAGTTTTAAGCTAAATTTCATGGTACAGGAATCTTGCTAACAACAACCTCAGTGGGAGTCTTCCTTATTCTATATCTTCAATGGTTTCCCTTGTTTATTTGTAAGGTTCTTGCATATACTTTAATTATCCTTTTGACGGAGAGTATGAGGAGGATCTTATTGACGGATTATGTGCACATAATTTTTTGATTGTAGAAATGCTAGTCACAACTTATTGTCAACAATTGAAGATGTCTTCGGAAATTTGCAGGGTTTGTCAGAATTGTAAGTAATCCTACATTATATATATATATATATACATACATATATCCTTAGATGCTCACACTATTGTGCTTGTCTATCTTAAGGTCTTAACTCTTCAAAGAAATGAGATATTTCCATAAGTTTCAAAGAATACAGTCCATTATTGCTTCCCGTCTTCAGTGTTTCTTAATGGAACCATTACTAAGTTCCTGTTAGACATTATGAAAGTAGATATTTGACAATTCATTTTTATTTAGCACGTGCATTAATGTGGAATTTTATTGCAGAGATTTATCTTCCAACAACCTTACTGGGGATCTTCCTAATTCGATTGGCTCCTTGTCAAACCTCTCAAGCCTGTATGCCATTTCTAACTGGCTTATTTTCAAGAGATAAGTTAACCATTTATTCGATGATATTTAAGTTTGCTATGCCAAGCTAGATATTCTATCATTGCAGTTATTTACAAGACAATCAATTGAGTGGCCAAGTAAATATTCTCACCAGCCTGGATCTAACTACCTTGTAAGTTGGTTTCATAGGCATGTCAACATTATTTTTTCTTCATTGCTCTTTTCTGTAATAGCTGTTCTTTTCAACAGAAACATTGCGAACAATCATTTCAGTGGCTGGATCCCTCAGGAGTTCAGAGCTATTCCAAATCTTTTGTTAGTAGTCATTTGGCCTATCATCTGCTTATTTCACAAAGCTGCCATGAATAGGTGTTCGGCAGAACTACAATAAACTCTTTTTGTAGGGAAAACTATCATCAACTTGTCACGAAACAACAATGCTCATAGTCAGTGAGGAAAAGCTGCATGTTTCATGTTTTAGACAGTCTTGCCCTAATGTATTTTATATATTTATACATTACCGTTATCAGCTTTATGGGTTGATGATATAAATAAGGCTAGTTTAGACCTTTTATCCAACGTTTTAATGCCATTAGCAACAATTTCCAATAGTTCATCATATTTTTCTGCAGTCTTGAAAGTTAATGATAATTTGCTCAAAAAAAAACTTTATGGTAGTTTTGTGCAAAACCCCACAAAGTTCATGGTGGCTTTGTGAAATTTAACCTCTTCTAAAATTACTTTTACACCTCTTTTCCTAATATGTTCTCTCTCCCTTCATTGGCACAGTGTTGGAGGTAACTCATTTGCAAATGGTCCCGCTCCACCTCCACCTCCTTATGCCCCTCCTCCTCCTCGGAGGCCACATAAATAATAATAATAATAATAATAATAATAATAATCACAGCCATCTTCCTCCAGAAGCACCAAAGGCCACATAATAATAATAATAATAATAATAATAATAATAATAATAATAATAATAATCACAGCCATCTTCCTCCAGAAGCACCAAGTCCTAGATCAAGAGGCCAAGTTGCAGATCAGAATAATGACAAAGATCAGAGAAGCTTGAAAGGGGGTCAGATTGCGGGCATAGTTATAGGCTCAGTTCTTGGTGCTTTGTGTGTGGCACTTGCTGGTGCCTTTTGTCTATGGAGTATCCGCAAGAGTAAAGGCGACACAAAAGGTAGATCGAGAGATACTGTGAGGTCTCCATCTACCTTACCCAATATAGGTACATTTATTTTAGATGTTCATTTTTTTATCTTCCAGGAATATTTCTTTTAATATATATACGGATATGCAATGAAATAATATGTATACATATGCATATAAAGGACGAGGGTGAAGCATTATATAAGCTCAAGATTCATTTACAAAATATAACACTAGATTGTCAACTTTCAAGTAATATTAGCTTAATTTCTGATTTTGATAAGAGCCCCCCCACCCCCCCCCCCCTAACAGTTGTCATTGGACTAACAAACAATAATCAGCTCGTAAACATGCAGATTTGTCAGTAAATCTTTTTAGAAAAATTAACATGGCAGTGAGCAGTATCAAGTTTCAGGACTAGTAGATCATTTTCATTGCATATATGATATATCCATATGGTATCCGGATCATAATGAAGAACTATGTAATTGTGATTGCAATTACATAGGTTGCAGTAGCACGATATTCTCCCTCACTTATCAATTATTAAAAATAATAATCTATTTCCTCTCAACTTTTGATGCTTTATCCTAAATTTCTCTTCGGCGAGTAGTTACCAACATGGAGGTGCAAGAACAGAGTCCTAGAAGTGTGCCAGTCACAAGTCTGAAGCCTCTGCCTTCAGAGAAAAATACTGTTGAGAAAGCTTATGGAAAAGATGGGTCTGTTAATAGGACAAGGCTCCCAATTACTGCAACTTCCTATACTGTCGCTGCTCTTCAAACTGCAACAAACAGCTTTAGTCAAGAATCCCTTGTGGGTGAAGGTTCACTTGGCCGGGTTTATAGAGCTGAGTTTTCCAATGGAAAGGTAGCGAATGAATCCATTGCTAGCTGATTTTATCTTTGTTTATTTCATTAATATCTCAATTCACATGAAGGAGAGGGATGGTCTCTTTATATGATATAGAGGCATGCTTCGTTATGATCTCAAATATTTCGTCAGGAAATAACATTCATTCATTTTATTCTAACTCTGATTATTGGACAATCAGTCTGACTTAAATTTCCCCTCTTATGATATTATCTCTGGTAATTCTTAATTTCAGGTAAATTCTCTTTACTTTTGAGAACTTTCACTTATCAATATGTCACCTTGCAGGTTTTGGCAGTAAAGAAAATAGACAGTGCTGCATTATCTCTACAAGAGGAAGATAATTTTCTTGAGGCCGTCTCAAATATATCAAGGCTTAAACATCCAAATATCACAATGCTGGTGGGCTACTGTGTTGAGCATGGACAGCGCCTTTTAGTTTATGAATATGTCGCAAAAGGAACTCTACATGATATGTTGCACTATGCTGATGATAGCAATGCGCTTACGTGGAATGCACGTGTGAGGATAGCACTTGGCACTGCCAGGGCTTTAGAGTAAGTTGTTGATCCCAAAATATATTTTATCAGTAAGTTACAGAAAATTTTCCCTACGTTTTGTAGAAATGATATTTTACCTCTCTCTTTACCTTTTAGTCAAATAATAATCAACTTTCTTCTTTTGATATAATTGTTAATTGTTGATATAACAATCATGTACATTTGGATAGAGGCATAGAGGTAAGTACAGTTTCTATTACTTCCGTTTTTTGACATCCAAGCTAACTACGAAACTTGAAGCGGAGAGGTCGAAGTGGTGATTTTTAAACCTTAGGGATATTTTGCCAATAATACAAACCTTAGGGGGATTTCCTGTAATTTGTCATTATTTTATTTTCATTGACGACGTACATTTTAAAAGGAAATACTTTTCCTTTTATTTTATACAGGTATCTTCATGAAGTATGCTTGCCTTCTGTTGTACATAGAAATTTCAAATCAGCAAATGTTCTACTAGACGATGAGCTTAATCCTCACTTGTCAGACTGTGGGCTAGCAACATTAACTCCCAATACCGAAAGACCGGCAAGTGATTGTCACATTTTTGTTTCTAATATATCATCATCAAATGCTGCATCAAAATCATTTATGTTTATATGCACATGATAGATCTCAACCGAGATGGTTGGCTCGTTTGGCTATAGTGCTCCTGAATTTGCAATGTCTGGCATTTACACTGTGAAAAGTGATGTGTACAGCTTTGGAGTAGTGATGTTAGAGATGTTGACTGGCCGGAAACCACTTGACAGGTATATTATTGATATTCTTTTTTCTTCTTGTCATGTTTGTAATATCAAAGAAATAAGACATCCCCCGCCACAATCCCCCCCTCCTCCCCCCGAACTTCTGCAGGTCCCACTGACAGACGCTGAGAAAAGTTTATCAATGAAGACGGCATAAGTGCCATTAAAAGATTACAAAAGGGGACGGAGGATTGTTCTTTGGGTGCATGAGAAAAAACAGGATAGTTATAGAACTGTCCTGAGACAATATAAGACATGCATGCCAGAGAAGATCCTGATAACCGGAACTACTTCTCTTTATAAGTGTACATTTCATGCAAGTCTTTAACCAGAGCTTGAGTACACTCCCCAGGAAGGTCAATAGCATTATAGAACTTATAGCTCCCGTGTGTATATGCTTGAGCAGCTAGTCTGTCGGCAACACCATTAACCCATCTATAAACATGATTTATCTCTCTCTCCCTCTCCCTCTCTCTCTCTCTCTCTCTCTCTCTCTCTCTCTCTCTCTCTCTCTCTCTCTCTCTACATATAACGTAAATATGTAAGGTGGTTATGCGTGTATGTATGCATGTATATGGTTAGAGATAAAGGTGGTGAGCCCCACCCATCTGATTCGACATACTTATTGCTAAATTAACCACCAAGAAATGGACATGTGGTGGGCCCACCTTGCAAGTCACATAGGATTAGGTAGACTTCGCCACTCTTATCTCTTGATAGTTCATTTTGTTAAATAAGTTAGACCACAAATAAGACACATTTATTTACTTATTTTCTCATTTTGTTATGCGGGATGTACCAGTTCTAGGCCAAGATCAGAGCACTCGCTCGTAGTATGGGCTACACCCCAACTTCATGATATAGATGCATTGGCAAAAATGGTGGATCCAACACTAAATGGCATGTATCCTGCGAAATCGCTCTCGCGATTTGCAGACATAATTGCGCTATGTATTCAGGTACCCATTTTTAGATAGTAAAATTCAATCTTATACCAACATGACAAGTTGCCGTGCTTATTTTCATACATGTGGTTTATGTTTCTTATGATCTGGTTCATGTTTCTGATGCAGCCGGAGCCGGAGTTTCGTCCACCTATGTCCGAAGTTGTACAATCATTGGTTCGGTTAATGCAGAGAGCGAGCACAGTCCGAAGGCGATCTGGAGAGGATTTAGGAGCTTCTTATAGGATCCAAGAGCATGAAGCAAATACAGATTTTTCCTTCTGAAAGAGCACTTCCTCATTACTCGTTCAATGAAACAGAAAACGGGTCTTCTTTTTTCTTTATAATCAGATTTTGACATATAATACAATAAGGAAGCCGATGCGTTTCTTTGTACATTTTGTAGAGAAAATAAGTCAAACTGGCAACCAAGAAAGAAATAGAACGCAAGTATCTTTTGTTTTCGTGCTCTTTGGGTTACTGAGAACTTGTTGGATAATATGCTGTGAAAAGTAAGTCCTTGAGCATATCTGTAAATGTTTTGTGCTTAAACTTTTTGCAGTCAGTTTGGTCTATTCTATGTTGGGTTCGATTAATCCAACGAACCCAAGTGACCCAACCTACTCGATTTTGGATTTGATTTAAAGTTGCTATCGATTCAAGTTAGGATCAGGATACTAACCACATGGTCTGGTTAGACAGTTTCATGCTTATCAAGTTGGGTGGTTATCTTGAATATCTAAAGGATAGGATCAACCGGAGTGTAATCCCACGGTTGTGATTAAACCATGATGGGTAGGGTTAATCATAAATATCTATTTAAAGAGTGGGAGTCCCTCCTCTCAACCGTATGCAGAAAAGAGACCTAATTCCCATCATTGGCTACGGGAGGAGAGAGGAGAAGACTTCCATTATTTTCGTCGGTGAACGGTAATTAATTTATATTTCTAGTTCAATTATTCATGTCTAGATCGTTAAATTATCCAACAGTGGTATCAGAGCCTGTTTGTGCATGAATTTTTTGATCTAGAATTAAAGTTTTTTATTTTCGGATTTATTAAAAAAAAAAAAAAGAGGATCTACGGTTGCATCCAGTGCTTATGTTTGCATCTGCGTTTTTGTTTGCCGTCAAACGCTAGAAATAGATCAACGTTAAAAAAAAAAAGGGATTCAGCGTGTTTTCTTACGATTGATTACTTGTTTAATTCAATCTTATCTCCGAAGAACTCACGGCCACAGCAAAGTTAAATAAAAAAAAAAGGGCCATCTTTGAGTTCACAATTTTTTTTTTAATGCCGCATCAACCATGGTTGCTCCTCGCCATGCCACGCCCTCTATGCACGCGCTCTCTCTCTCTCTGCGGATTCGGTGCTCAGCGGTGAGCGGCGGCCAGTGGCGGGGTTGCGGCAGGTGGCGGGGTTGCGGCCGACGGCGGAGGGTCGGTTCTGTGGGAGATTGGGTGCTGGCGGCGGCTCTTGGGTTGAGTGAGTTTATGGTTAGGGTTTAATTAAGGTTATAATTAATTAATTAATTCAGACCCAACCCATTATGAAATGGGTTAGACCCATTAATTTTTCAGACCCGACCCATTACAGTTTTGACCATTCATTTTGTTTTGATCGCTACAGGTCCGTTTTAAGTCCGATTTGAGCCCATAAGTAGTCGTTGGAAAGATTATTTTGTGTTCTTTTCAACTATACAGTTTTTATTTTAATTTTATAAAGTTTTAATACAGAAATTTGGACAATTCATAAAGATTTTTGTATGCACATAAAGATAATTGATTTACTCTGATTATATCCTTAATTCAGGTGGGGGTAAATATTTGGGTTCATGATAAAACGGACTACAGTATTAGATCAACCTATGGGGTTAAGGAAGATCAGTAAAACAGTCACTTAGAAATTATGATAGAGTAGGTTAGTGTCTTGCCCAAAGGTGACCAACCTATAATACCCTAATTTTCTAAGGCTGAGTTTACTCTCATTTGGACTGGAAGGTTGCACTTATCTGTGGGTGGACTACTAGTCTTGCCCAAAGGTGACCAACCTATAATACCCTAATTTTCTAAGGCTGAGTTTACTCTCATTTGGACTGGAAGGTTGCACTTATCTGTGGGTGGACTACTAGTCTTGCCCAAAGGTGTCTGGGAAATCCTCTACATGATAAGTGGTGCAGGATAGTTGAAACATGTCAGTGAGAGGAGAATAACCCTATTGCCCAAAGGTTAGGAAGTGTTCAAATCAAACTGACACTGTGTAGGCTAGTTCTGTAGGTGATTATATATCACATTTGGGGGGCGAATAGCATGTCAAATCACTTGCCCAAAGGTGTGATGAGATGATGCACCCGCCTGTCCCGCAGAGTGGAAGGTTGCATACGTAAAACACTCTGACCCATCCATTCTAACCCTAAATTGGATGTGGAAATATTAAAGTTAATTAAATTAAAGGTCTCATTTGATTTATATGTCCATGGTTTAATACAGATGGACGGACAGTTTATCCAGAAGCGGAATGAGGAATCCGTTAGAGCGAGACAGTACAGTACAGTTTGTAGGGATTTAGTTCATGTTTGTTGTGAAACAAATTTAGTTGATGTTCCTTCAAATTCTTGGTGGATTGATTCTGGTGCCTCTGTGCACATTTCAACTTCATCACATGGAATAATCCACAGTCGGAAGGCAAGGGCAAATGAGCAGCTATTTTTGGGAAACTCACAGCCTATGAAGGTGGAGCTCGTTGGGACTTTCAGTCTGCGCTTGGATTCTGGAGTTTCCTTAGTTTTATCAGACACTTTCTACGTACCTTCTATGAGAAGGAATCTTATTTCAGTTTCTAGACTTTCTGGATCTGGTTATAGCTTTGTTTTCGAGAATAATTCTGTCTCCATCAGAAATGGTTTGGATGTTATCGGACATGGTTTCTTGATTGACGGTCTTTATAGATTAAATCTGGATGCATCTTTTCCTTCTCCTCTATGTATGTCTGTGAATTCATCTTCTTCTGGTACAAAGCGTCCTAGGCTTAATAGCAATTCTTCCATACTTTGGCACCGGAGATTAGGACATGTTTCAAGAAAGCGATTGGAATCCTTAGTAAAGTTTGGTGTTCTTGAACAGCTAGATTTCTCTGATTTTGGTACATGTGTTGACTGTATCAAGGGAAAGATGACTAAATTGAGAAAATTTGAAGCCTCCAGGAGTGAAGGTCTCCTTGACCTCATTCATACAGATATTTGTGGACCTTTTCCCACTCCCTCTCATGGTGGTCAGCGATACTTTATCTCTTTCATAGATGATTTTTCGCGCTATGCCTATATTTTTCTTCTTCACCACAAATATGAGGCACTGGATGTTTTCAAGATCTTTCAAGCTGAAGTTGAAAAACAATTAGAAAGAAAGATTAAATCCGTGCGTTCTGATCGAGGTGGGGAATTCTATGGTAAAAGCGATCAGGACGGCACAAATCATGGTCCCTTCATTGAGTATTTGAGGTCACAAGGCATTGTTCCTCAGTACACTCTCCCAGGTTCTCCGCAGCAAAATGGAGTAGCTGAAAGAAGAAATCGTACTTATCAAGATGCTGTTCGCAGCATGATGAGTCATTCAGATTTGCCTGAAAGTTTTTGGGGTGAGGCATTGAAGACAGCTGTATATATCATCAATCGTCTTCCTTGTAAGGCGGTAGCAGAGACCCCTTTCAAGCTTTGGACTGGCAGGGATCCTAGTTTTGGTCATCTACGTGTTGGGGATGTCCAGCAGAGGCACGACCTTATAATCCAGACATTAAGAAATTAGAAGCTCGAACAGTGTCGTGTCGCTTTGTCGGCTATCCTGCAAGATCTAAGGGCTACAGGTTCTATTGTTCTTCTCGGTCTACCCAGTTCTTCGAGACACAACATGCTGAGTTTCTGGAAGACCCTAATGCTTCTTCAGAACATCGTGGTCTGAGTTTTGAGGAAGTTTTAGAAGATGAGCAGTCGCTTCCGCTATTAGATGTCATCTCTAGATTTCCTACTCTTCCAGATAGCTTTCCACCTCCTCCTCCAGTTCAAGAAACATTTGTACCTGCAGAAGAGCCACAACCTGTTAGAAGATCCTCTAGAGTCTGAAGATCTGCCATACCTGATGACTATGAGGTCTATCTTCAAGGCCCACGAAATGAAGTTGAGCGTAGGCTCGTGAACTCTGAGGAGTATGTCTCTGCAGTTGGCAGTCTAATGTATGCAGTGTCATGCATCAGGCCAGACATCAGTTATATCGTGGGAATATTAGGCAGGTTTCAACAAAATCCTGGTGTAGCTCATTGGAAAGCTGTAAAGAAGGTTTTGCGGTATTTGCAGAGGACCAAGGATTTCATGTTGGTCTACAGAAGGTCTAAAAATCTAGAAGTCGTCGGTTATTCAGATTCAGATTTTATAGGATGTGCTGATAGCAGGAAATCAACATCAGGTTATATATTTCTGCTCGCTGGAGGAGCAGTTTCCTGGAAAAGTGCCAAGCAGTCCTTAGTGACGACATCCACCATGGAGGCAGAGTATGTTGCTGTTTTTGAAGCAACATTGCATGCCTCTTGGCTCAAGAATTTCATCAGTGAACTAAAGGTGGTGGATTCCATTCAGAGACCAGTAAAGTTGTATTGTGACAATCAGGCAGTTGTACAGTTTGTAAAGAACAAGAATTTTTCTAGCAGGAATAAGCACATCGGTGTGAAGTACTTGTTAGTCCTTGATAAGGTTGAACAAGGATTGATTGAGGTTCCTCATTTGCCGACTCAGTTGATGATTGTTGATCCTTTGACCAAGGGAATTTCTCCAGGGCTCTTCAAGGAACATGTATCCAGTATGGGTGTTTTAGAGTCTTTTGATTCTATATGATCAGTGAGATTTAGTTGTCGTGGTAGTTTTGTTTTATTTTCAAGTACTATATTCTGGATTGCTTTGAGCTCATAAAGAAACTATTGTGCTAATTTTTTAGCAGTTTGATATTTTCAAGCATTGTGTTCTTGGTCATTGTTGCTTGATATATATATTTTAAAGTAAAGAAAACTAAAGTTTAAAGTAAAGAGTTTCAAGTTAATCGTAAAGAAACTCGAATTAAAGATAGTGGTCCATAGAGTCATAAAGGTTAAAGTAAAGAGACTCTTAAATTTGTGCAGAAGCTGAATATGATTGGGCATCATATTTGAGGCTTTCGTTCTGGACTAAAGGTGATGGTTTTCACATGGCGGATGCCGGTAAAAGTTTCAGAACGGCATACATGTTTGTGTATGTTGCAGAGGACACTTAAGGGCGTACATCGGATTTGACCATAAGGGATGTACGGCTCTATTACACTCCACTAAAACCACCATAAGGAAAATGTCTTTAGAACATTAGTGGTACTAGCGGTTGGACCGTGGAGTGACCTTGTGCCATATTAGAGCATATAGTGTTTTCACGATCAACCATTAGTGGTACTTTTGTTTTAAGGAAAAGGTTTCGGAAACTATCCTAATTAGAATCATGGCAACAAGTTGTTTTCTAAAATAAATG